ACGCCAATGGTCTTAATCCACGGAAAGGTCGACGGTGGTGGAGATGGCACGGGTGGATGACCGTTGATGGTCCACTCGTAGTCCGAGAATTGATCGTCGATGATGTCCACGAGGGTAGGGAGGATTCGGTTCAAGTAATCTTCGACGATATTGTCAAAACCAAACCCGATGTCGAAGAAGGGTGATCGAACGATGTGGATGTCTTCGTAGGCGTCGAGTACGAATCCGCTATCAACTTCGGGATCCGCCATGCATCCTTGCCGGAAATGAAAGAGCACTAATAAGGAGAAAGGAGATATGAGGTGGCGAGGGAGAGCACCTATGGTTTGAGAGCAAGGAAGAGGGAGAAAGGTGGCTGCTTGAATAGCAAGGTGGGAGAGGGCCAGCGGCTTCAAGGGGAAGAGGGCTATGATTTGGAATCCAATTCTAATAAGTCTCCCAATAAATTTGAAATAAGTTTCAGATTTAATTAGGTTTGGAGGGAATCAAGTTAAGATTTGAATTCGAATTCAATTTGGATTGAGGCTAGAATTGGAAACACACAATGGGAGAGCCCATTAATGGGGCCGGCGGTATAGGAGAGAGAGGGAGGGGGTTTTAAAACTAATCTTGAAATTTAATTTCAGGATTTGTATAATTTGGGGGGAAAGTTATTTTAAATCAGATTTTAATTTCAAATAAGGTGGAGAATTAATATAGCATTCAATGGGGAGAATCCCACATGGGGCCAGCAGGTCCAAGAGGGAGGGAGGAGGTGTGGGAGCAACTTATGAGCCTTCCAAATCATCACATAAGCATTAGGAAAATTTATTACGAAATCCACTGCAATTTGAATTTCAAATTGATTTGGATTTAAATACTTTCTTAATTAGGATTTGCAATTAAGGAAAGTTTTTGAAATTTGAATTCCAAATTTTGAAATTTCAGTAATTACTTTCCTTTCTTTGAAATGAAATTACGAGGGAAGGTATGGTGATGGAAATCATCATCATGAGAGAATTCCCCGGATGGGCCGGCGGTGAGATTGGGCTCGGGTGGGGGCGGGTGGTGGAGCCAATGGGGACGAAAGAAAGGGGCGGGTTGGTGGGGTTAAGTAAACGTTGGGCTTGGAGAAGAGGTAGTATGTGGTGAGCTCGGTGGAGTGGCTTGGACAAGATCCGGTGGGTAGGTGGATGAAAGTAAGAGAAGAAAAAAACCGGATAGAAATAAGAAGAAGAAAATACCACGAGCCGTGGACTCTTCCGACGACTGGTGGGCCTTGCAATTGCTCCCTTTGAGCTCTCTCCCTTCTCTAGCTCTCTCCCTTCTCTAGCTCTCATGCAAGAAGAAGAAACAAGATAAAATTTTTCATTCAATAATTCATCATCCTCATTACAATAGAAATGACCTATATATAGGTCTCAACATAAAAGAAGAAACAAAGATTAAATTGCCCTCAGGGCTACAACATGACTCAACTCATAATAGGGGTACAATAGGAAGACTCAAAGAAAATAAAATGCATAAATATTTAAAAATATAAACTCTGAATCGTGACCGTCGATCTGCGATGCTTCCGGCGATACACATGTTTGAACCTCTGATCAATGTCCTCATCAAAATATGCATAAATGCACCTCTGAAGTAAACACAGAAGTGTCTAAAAAATAATTAACTGAAAGAATAATTTAGAGGCCATTTTCCACTAGATAAATACAAAAGGGAAGCTGAGTTACCCATCCTTATTTATACAAACTAGTTAAATTTACAGACTTGGCCTGTAGGTCTTAAAGCTTTGGCTTCTTATGCATTTATGACTTCACTTTGAAGTTCATCCTTTAAAGCATCATTCATTCATTGTATCCCACAGACCTACATGACCTCCTAAAACTATACATGAGTTATATATTTGAAAGAAAGGAAAAAAAAAGCTCCTTTCCTTACAAAAGTAAATGTTAAGAATCATATAATATATAGCAATCCACTACACATCCACCGATTGCCTGATAATAATGGTGCCTAGCTGGTTTCAATTCTTGTTTTCCATGCTTATTTAGACCTTTAGCATATAAAGTAGCACATATAAGCAAATGCTATTAGATGATAATTTTTAATTTTTTTTGCCCATTTTGGCATGGTCATCTCCATGGAAGAATCTATATAGTTACCCTAACACTTAAGAGCAATTGCCCATGACACAAACAGTCATTCCACACCAAACATTAGAACCACATACCAAAAAAAAAAAAAAAAAAAAAATCTTAATCCTAGAGTGCTTAAAGGGCTATGCATCTATTACATGCTTGCTTGTGTGGTTGTTATGCTATTATTTGATGTACTATTTTATTGTAGAATAAAAAGAGATTTAATAGGGTCTAAGAGTGATTCACACTTTAAGTTGTTTATGACTAAAGGCTTTTAGTTGGATTTTAAAGGAGTTTCATGTTTTAAAGGGTTATAAACAAACCATTAGATGGTCACTATTTGTTTTGAGACAAGCTTGTCATTTTTGGTGTTGTAAGATTCAATGACATAAATAATCCTTCTTTTAGGGTGAAATGATACATCATTGCATAAAAAAAGGGAACCTATGTTGTTTTTATGATTTTCTATAAGTCTTTTAATGTTTGGTTAGGAGGAAAAGAAGTTTGTTTAATTTGGCTAAATAAACTTACCTAAGTGTTCGCTTAGTTAGGACTTGGTGAAATTCTTCTAATTGGTTATGTGAATTTCGTAATGAGAACTCTTTAAAGAGACTTGAGGGTTTTTGGCTAATTTTAAGATGAAAGACGCAATAATCTTTTGGTCAAGTGATGAAAATTTAGAGTTTGGGTCTGGATAGATAAATCATCTATTTGATTGAGTTAAATAAGTGGGCATTGGTTTTGAAGCCAAAAGAAAAAGATATGACTCAATTGATTGTTTTAAATGAGCTAATATTGGCTTTGTAGCCAAATGATAAAGAGCTTATATTTGGAGGCAAGGTTACTAGGACTTATTTCTAAGCTGGGAGAAGTATTCCAAGAAAACAGTGAATTGCTTGTATGTCTGTTCCGTTGCATTAATTCTCATCCATGGCTTCAATGTGTGATGTAAGCATGGCCGCCCCCACTTTTTAATTAAGATGATTTGGGAGATGGATGCTGGCTGTTTGGTTTCCGCTCCCTGCTTTTCCGGTTCCCCTTGCTGGTTGTTCGATTCCTTCTCTTGGCTATCCCGGTTCCCCTTGCTGGTTGTTCGGTTCTTGCTCTTGGCTGTCCCAGTTCCCTTGCTGTGGCTGTTCGGGTGGGGGTCCAAACAGTGCCTTTATTGCTTCTTTTTCTTTCCTTTTGGTTGGCTGTGGTGGGCGGCTGAACATGGCTGTCGGCCTCCCTTTTCTATCATATTTATAGGGGAGTTTTGGGCTGTTTTAGAGGATGAAATGTGATGATTTTTGGAGAAGAAACCTGAGGGTTTTCTCTAGCTTGCGAGCTAGCTTCTTTTCCCTTTCCCCTCTATTATTTCGTCTTAGAACTTCTAATCTATTTATTATCTCCACAAGTTACCATTCCATTGTATCTTTCTTCTCAGAAGTTGTAAGGCTTGATTAGTCATATGGTATTGTTGTGTCCTTTTATTTTAAGTTGTATTGTGTGCTTATTTTAAGTTTGTAATGTCAATGGAAAGGAAGATGTATAGTTGTTTTTTGCAATCTTAGTTTTCTTATAAATTTGGTTGCATTAAATTGGTATCAGAGCTTAGGTTTTGTGTCTTCCTTCCTATTTCAAAAAAATAAAAAAAAAATTATTGTCCCTCATCAACAAATGGAGGATCCAAATCAAGAAGAAGTCGAATATGAACTTAGTAAAAATCAACCAAGTGATCTTGAAGTCCCAATTCCATCCAACAAATGGGTCCCATCCCAAGGAAACTCTACCGATCCACTCCAGAATGAGATTTACAAAATTCAAGAAAAAATATGCTTTTGTGCAGAAAAAATATGAGATTAAGAAGATTGAGCTTCTAGTCGAGTTTAATCAAGAAAAGAAGATGATCGAAAAGAAGTACGCTGCTTTTATTCGGGAGTCGGATATGGCTCAGTCTGCGCTTGATGGATGTTCTAAAATCATCTCATCATGGGATGAGACTCTCAACCAAGGGAGATTTGATGTAAGCACGGCTGCCCCCCTTTTTAATTAAGATGATTTGGGGGATGGATGCTGGCTGTTTGGTTACCACTCACTGCTTTTCCGGTTCCCCTTGCTAGTTGTTCGGTTCCTGCTCTTGGCTGTCCCAGCTCCCCTTGTCGGCTGTTCGGTTCCTGCTCTTGGCTGTTCCGGTTCCCTTATTGTGGCTGTTCAGGTGGGGGTCCAAATGGTGCCTTTATTGCTTCTTTTTCTCTCCTTTTGGTTGGCTGTAGTGGGCGACTGAACATGGCTATTGGCCTCCCTTTTCTATCCTATTTATAGGAGAGTTTTTGGCTATTTTAGAAGATGAAATGTGATGATTTTTGGAGAAGAAATCTGAGGATTTTTTCTAGGCGAGCTATCTTCTTTTACCTTTACCCTCTATTATTTCGTCTCAGAACTTTTAATCTATTTCTTCTTTCCACTAGTTGCCATTCCTTTGTATCTTTCTTCTCAAAAGTTGTAAGGCTTGATTAGTCATATGGTATTGTTGTGTCCTTTTATTTTAAGTTGTATTGTGTGCTTATTTTAAGTTTGTAATGTCAATGGTAAGGAAGACATATAGTTGTTTTTTGCAATCTTAGTTTTTCTCAAAATTTTGGTTGCATTAATGTGTCAATAGAGCTGTAGTTTCTTTGATGCTGACTTATGTTCATTGCAGAACATCAATGCTGTGTTGTATGCTTTTTACCACACCCTTTTAATTTTCAAATCGTGAAGCTAAAATATTTTTGTGTTGTTAATATGGCGCAAAGAGGCTTTAATAGATAAAGGCACTTGACCAACTAAATTGGTCTGATTTGGATTTTATTTAATTTCTGGTGTAATGCTAAAATTTTATTGCATTTTTTGCAGTTTTGGTCATGTAAACTATGAAGACCCTCACTTCAACGTTGGCTTACCAGTCTTTACCATTCATGGAAATCATGATGATCCAGCTGGAGTGGTATTGTAAAAGCATTAGCGACAAACATATTCTTATTATTAAATGGCATGAAATCAGTATTTTCTGACTCATTAAGGCATGCTAACCTCAATATCAAAGATTGTATGATGCAAACCTATTTGGTTTATTAGAAACCTTCATCTTGTCGATTTCTGTCTTTTAATATGGTTTCAGAAGTATCTATTTTACATGCTATGTTGGACCTCTATTCATAATAGATTCTATAAAATACGACCAATAATTAAATTCAATGGATAAATGATCATATTGCCTTTATGATGCGAGCAAAAATTTGGGAAAAGCCCCAAATTTTTGCAAGCAAGAGAATTTCTCTTCCTAGGATAAGAAGATACAGAAAATACCCAAAAAGCCATTTTTATAATTTAAAAACAACACTTACAACTTTGACTTACAAACGACACATAAACAAACATAAAAATACACCTAAAGTTGCTTTTCCTTTGCTTGAGAAGAAGGATACAAGTGAAATGGTACTTGTGGAGAGAAAGAGGCAAGAAGTCCAAGACGAAGATAGGAGAAGCTCACAAGCCTTCCCAAGTAGTAGTAGAAGAAGAAGAGGAACAAGCTCGCAAGCTTTTTCAAAAACCCTCAGGTTTTATCCAAAAATACCATTTTTTATCATCCTTTTCAAGCCTCAAAACTTCTCTAATTTATAGGTAAAAGGAAGAAGCCAAACAGCCACAGCACCTCCAACCAAATGCAATCAGATTTGGGGAAATGTAAGGCCAAAGGACACCAAATGAAAGGCCAAAAGACAGCAAAACAGCAGCATAAATTCTGCACAAAAAACAGGGAGAGAAGCTATGGAAAACCCAACCAGCAGCCACGGGAAGCCCAGCCAGCAAGGGACCCGAAGAGCCAGCACAGGAAATAGGGCAAGCTTCACGGGAAAACAACCAAGGAATCAAACCAAGAGGGGTTGACCACGGGAACAGCAACAGCCAGCAGAAACCAAGAAGTCAAAGGGGAAAGGCAACATTATGAGCTGAATTCTACACCAAATAATGAACTAAACTTCAGGTCATAATGAGCTAACCCACAACTCAAACTTTAATGAGCGAGAACCAACTAGAACTCAACTTTTTAGCACAAAACCAAACAGCCAAAGCCAACCCAAGAGCAGCCAAGGGCCCAAACAGAGAAACAACAAGCAGCCCAATGACAAAAGCTAAAAGGTAGCAAGCAGCCCAAAGCTTGCCTACATCAATTCTCCCCTACTTAAAAAAAGCTCATCTCCTGATGAGGAAATTTTAGATTTTGCCCGAGGAGATAAAAGAGACATTTCAAGCTCTTGAATTTTTACTTCATACCTTTTTAGAATTTCTTCTCGTTCACGCTTGAATTGATCTTATAAAATTTTCTTTTTCTTCATATACTTCTCCGTACACAGATGTAACTTCATTTGAAGCTTGTATAGTTCATTTTGAGTGGCGTTAATTGAACTTCCTTCTATTGGAACCCATCTGTCCAATGGAATGTTTTCTTCATAATCTTGTGGATTGCATTCTTCAATCTCTGGCTCATCTTCATTTTGTTTTTTCATTTTTTTTATGAACACAAAAAGACAAACACTAAATAAACTACTTAGGAAGACACAAAACAAGACTCACTAGCAAAAACAAACTGGGATTTGCTAACCTGCTTTGATACCAAATTGATGCGAGCAAAAATTTGGGAAGGGCCCCAAATTTTTGCAAGCAAAACAAGACTTTCCTAGAAAATACTCAAAAAGACCCTTTTATAATTTAATAAAAGACTTACAAACGACACATAAACAACTTACAAACTTTGACATAACATTAAACACCTAAAGTTGCATTCCATCTGTTGCTTTGAGAAGAAGGATACATGTGGGGTGGTCACTTGCGGCGAGAAGGAGGTTAGAAGACTAGACGAAATGTAAGAGAAGCTCGCAAGCCCTCCCAAGAACTAGAAGAAGAAGTGGAACAAGCTCTCAAGCTTTTCCAAGAAAACCATTAGTTTTTTCATTCCAAAAATCACATATCCATCCTTTTCAAGCCTCAAAACATCTCTAATTTATAGGCAAAAGGAAGAAGCCAAACAACCACAACACCTCCAACCAAATCCAATCAGATTTGGGGAAATGAAAGGCCAAAAGACAGCAAAACAGCCAACAGAATTTCTGCACAGAAAATAGGGAAACAAGCCATGGAAAACCCCACCAGCAGCCACGGGAAGCCCAGCCAGCAAGGGACCCGAAGAGCCAGCACAGGAAACAGAGCATCATTTCACGGGAAAAACAGTCAGGAGGGGAAAACCGAGAGGGAGGACCACGGGAATAGCAACAACCAGCAGAAACTGAAAAGACAAGGGGAAGGTAAGGCTTTATGAGCTGATTTTTACACCAATTAATGAACTAAACATCAGCTCATAATGAGCTAACCAACAACTCAACAATTAATGAGTTAGACTTAAGTAGAACCCAATTTTTAAGCTTAACACCAAACAGCCAAAGACCCAATCCGAGAGCAGCCAAGGCTCCAAAGAGAGAAATAGCAAGCAGCCCAAGGACAAAACCAAGAGGTAGTAAGTAGCCCAAAGCTTGCTACATCACTTTAACAATTAAAATAAAGACAAATAAAAAAAATGTAATATTAATTCAACAATTGCTATGAGCTGAAAAATTATTGTTCTTATGCTACTTCATTTCTCCCAAGGGCAAAGAGCTCTACCATGGAGAGTTTGATAAAGAAGGGATAAACTTGCCACTTTATTTTTGGAAGAAAAATGAAAGGTTTTCTATTATTGTGTCAAAGTAGTAAAATACAATCTAAAAAAAAGGACAGGGGAATAATCCTCGAATAATGCATAGATAAATGAGCCACTTTGTTTTAGAGATTTACAATGCAATATATATATTTTAGATTTTTGTGAAAAATAAGTATATATATTAAAAGTAATATGTTGCCAAATTTTTAATCAAACTACAAAAATTCAGACAACCTTTTTTTGAAGTAGAACTACTATATAAATGGATCTCCATGGTCTTTTAGGATTTTGAGTTAATATTAAGGTTTTATTTTTTCTTTTGCCGGGTTTTAAATGTTATTAGGGTATAGAGGGTGGGTTCAATAAGAGAGTGAGGTGGTCTGATGTGATATGATTTTCATGAATTTAGTTTAGAAAAGAGTTTCATATAATCTTTTATTCTTGTAGATTTTTGTAAACTTGTTAGAAAGAAAGATAATTAGAAAGAATGATGAGGGGCCAATAGTGTGATAGTATGGGTAAAAGAAGATAGTGGCTTGGGTAGGATAGAAGGCAGGCTTGAATCATTCTTTTATTAAGAAAAATGGGTAATATAGAATCAACAATAATCATATGCTTGAACATACATGTTACAGAGCATTGAATGCTAACCAATATAACAAAACATAAAATAATTTTGATGAGAAATTAATGAGATAAATTAAAATATTGGAGTAAACTTGTTAGAAAGAAAGATAATTACAAAGTATACTTCAGTACTTAGGGTTTGATAAGTATGGTTTAGGTTCTATTTGATGTGGGTTGTATAGGTTAATTGTGTATAAATACATCCATTATGGTTGTCTACAGCTTAGAGATAAACAAATAATAGCACATACAATCGCAAATTTCATGGATTGATTGAAGTTGATCTTCATCATAATTACTGATCATTTTATTTAATTTTCGACCATGATTTCTAGAATGATGTTGAGAGGCACAATGAAAAATTTGCAGAAGTCTTAATGGAGAAATAGTGAGAAAAGGGGGAATTAGATACACATGTTAAAAGAGGTGAGGAGAAATGTGCCACCCCTCATTTCATTTCATAATCTTAAGTGGGCTTATATATGACCTCTTGGACCATTATTTATAATAGAAGATCTTATAAGATAAAACTAATAATCAAAATTATTCAAAACAATTATCAGCTGACCAGATTACCCTTTGAAATTAAAAGAAAGACTAATAAAAATGAATGATGTAAGAAAGATATGGTATTTTATTACTGTCTAGTGGAATTATTATTTTGTCTTTTTAGGCTTGATTTAGTATTTTTTAGTTGTCAAGGGTAATTTGACCATTTGTCAGTTAATAAGGATAAATAGTATGTTCTAATTTTGGTATTATCTTGTTGTAGCTTCAATTATAAGTAGAGGTTCAAAGGGTCATGTAAAGGTATAATACAATTATTAAATGAAATGATGCTAGGCATGCTTCATCCCCCCTTAGGCTGGACTGGATTCCATCTCATCTTCTCTCTCTTCTTCATTCAATTCTTCAATGCTGACACAATTCTTTCACTAATTCTCTCAGCATCAATTAATATAAGAGCCCATTATTATTCTAGAAATCATCATCAACCATTCAAAAATATGATAAATGTTGTGATGAAGATCAGTTTGATTGAATGCATGAAATTTTCATTGATTTTGTGCTTTTGGGCTTCCATTTGTAATTCTAGATCACCATATAGTAGATGCATTCTTTTCACATGTGCCTTCTACCCAAGCCACCTCAAACTAAATTTAAGCCAATTTCACCAAACCCTAAGCTCTCTGATATGCTTGGCCTTTTTTATCCCGTCTAATGGCTATTTTTGGTGTTGTGTGTTTGTCACTCCATCTTCCATGATTTGTATGTTTAATGGACTGATTATGACAACACACTTCAGATTTCTTTACAAGCAATGGTTTCAATTTTCCTTTTACCTACCTGAGCGCCTATGTTTTTTGCTATAATAGTCATTATTATAAACCCCTCATCTGCCTCCCTCATCCTCTCTCTCTAAAAATTCCAAAATAATTTCCAAGAAAATGGGTTATTTTAAAAATTTTCTTAAATTAAATTCGAGTTAATCTTATTCCTCCTAACTTCTACGAAATCATAAAAAACTTGGATTCAAAGTATTTCATATCCATCCTTACTATCCCTCCACACTCTCGCATGCATGTTTTTCAATTCCATTCTCAGGAAAAAGAACTTAGGTTCATCCTATCCCTTTTTCTCTCTTTATTCTTCACCCTCATCCCAAAAATAGAGAATCCGACTCCGCTTCTCTCTTCCAGAATTCACTTCTTTCCCTCTTTCCTTGACATCATCTAAAACCTTAAACCTAAACAAACAAAGACAACAAAAACCTATTGTTAACTGTAAACCGTAACCTAGTATATAGCCTCAAACCCTGAAGTTGAACACGAGCTAGGTTGTTTAAAAAAATATATATGAAGAAAGAATGATGCATGAATCTTCTTCATCTACCTTAGCAATTTTACTTATGGTCTAAATTTTCCTGAAGTTTCTGTAGTTTGATAAATAATTTTGGAATGCATCACTTCTCAAAGATGTTTGAATGCTTCTATATTATCGATGGTTTGATGCTTCAATGTATGTGTTGCAGATGATAGTGTTTATTCCAATTGTCTATTTCTACCGGAAGAAGGTGGTTCATTCGTCGCATCTTCTTTGGGATATGTCTCCTGTGTCCCTCTTTGCATAATTGGTTTTACTACTTGGGCACTTTGTTAGAAGACTTTCAATTGTTCCTGTACAACATTTGAACTCTCTGGAGTAAAGTTATTTGCACCCTAGGAGGAATAATATATCATAAGCATGGTTATTTGTCATGTCATAGCAGCCTATTTTGAGTTATTATTGTATTTATTTTATTAGTCATTATTTAGTCTTTATTTCAATTTTCAAGGGCAATATGGTCATTTTTCAATTGTTTAGAATAAATTATTTTATTGGTTTTATCCTGTACAATCTTCTATCATAACTAGAGGTCTAAGGGTCATAAAAACAAACAAGTATTGAATTGTTGACCCATACACATCCAAACACGCGTAAAAGGAGCAAAATTGATGAATTAAGCAACAAGCGTGTCGACGCGGCTCGTCACTTAAAAGGTCAAACAATCTCCGATTGCCAAACAGACTTCACTGTTTCAATCAGGACGTCGAATTAGCCTAAGTGGGAATCCTTCACAGTCAAATCAGACGAGATCGGTCCATAGGGATGACCGACACCCAAAATTGGTGTGCGACGTCGCCCAAATGACGTCTGATCGCAAAACGGATTTCGCTGTTGCGTCCGGAACATCATCAACACACAAAAATACTATCAACTCATTCAATTGTAGTCGTCCGACAAAATCAGCAAAAATCCCAAGGCAATGCACGCAGATTAAGGAAATTGACGTGCGATGTCGCCCAAACGAAGTTTGATCGCAAAACAGATTTTGCTGCTGCGTCTGGAACGTCTTTAATACTAAAAAAATCACTGTCAATTTGATCAATTAAAGTCAGGCTAGGGGATCGGAGCGGATCTCAAGGCAATGACGCGTAAATCGATAAAATTGATGCGCGATGTTGTCTGAATGACTTCCGATAGCAAAACGGACTTCGCCGCCGTATTCAGAACATCGACATTACCCAAAATCAGCTATAATATTGCCTGATGAAGTTCAAGCGGCAAATCAAGTTGCGTGCGAATCGAGAAAATTACTTGCAAATTGAGACATTTCAAGAAATTGACTTTTAGCTTCCATTGCAAAATAATAATAATAATTTATTAGTATTCTTATTAATTTAATAAGAAATCAATCAATCCGAAATTCAAATCAAAATTAATGTGAATCAGACTAACCTTGTATTGTCTATGGATAATCCCCTAAAAGTTGTTGAAACTCTGCAAATCAGCCGCTCTCTGGATTTTCGGCCTCGATCGAAGGCTTGCTGCGGCGATTAAAACAAAGTCAAATGAAACTCCTTGCTTCTGCTCCTATTCGACCTGAACTCAATCCAACAACCCCGTCTACCTACACCCGTCGGCCACAGCTTCTTCTTCCTTCACGAACTTCCATCCGTAGCTCTCCGACATTTCTCCCTGTCAAAGCCGAACTCTACCTCCTCAAACAAGACCTCTCCGTTTCTTCCTGCCGTTGAGATCTACCTCAAGACCAATCCAACTGTCAAAAGCCCTCACCCATCCGATTCCCTTCGCACGCAAGCAACTCTGTTGATCTCCACAGACTCCAGCTGACTCGTACACGACCGACCTCAATCCCGGCTCCGACCACCAACACCCCATCAGACCATAGCCAGCTTGTCCTCCAGTGCCGGTTCACGCCCTGCCGACGTCCTCCTTCAACCCCAACAACCACCTCCACTCTAAGCCGCAATCTCCTGCTGTAAAGCTTGCCAAACCTACACTTAATCGCTTCTCCATTGTGTCTAATCCTCTGCTCAGCCAGGCATAGCTTCATGACAGCCTCTCCGTCCCAAAACAACGGCTAGGATCCTTGCTTTGCTGGTTCTATCTTGCTAGTACAAGAATAAAGCTTCACTGCTTTTTTCCACTTACCTTTCATGTGAGCCTTTATCTGCCTCATTCAAACAACTTTCAACTCCTCCAATCAACCAGCCCCTTCACACCATTTCCTAAAATCAAGGCCCATTCATTTCGAAAGCCCACTCACAATCCCCTCCTCCAAACAACCACTTCAATCATAAGTCCCACCAAATCAGCCCACTCCAAACACTTAAATGACAACTTTGATTACTCAGATAAAAATCAAATGCAAACATGCTAGCATGGGACCTGTAATTAGCATAATGACTTGTTCATGGGCAAAGAGACTCATAATGTGCCAATAATCCACCTACAAGCGTATACAGGGAAGTTATGGAGAGCATTCAAATGAACAATAATGATCAGTTTGTAAGCAAAGACCAAAAACTTGCAGTGAACATGGACATTCATAAGTGCATGAAGGAGATAAGTAATGAATAACATAACTGGCTTACGAGCATACGACACATCCAAAAGTCCACTTATTACTTACAAAAATCCTCGAAGGTTGTAACATTCTTCCAACCAACATCAGCTAATTGACAAATGAAAGCTGCAGTTTTGTTTTTTTTTGTTTTTTGACAAATAAAGGTTGCAGCTCCCTGCAAATACTAAAATTTAATATGTGGCGAACGTAATGACCTGCCAGTCAATGTACATGAGAAAGTTAATGATGCTTGTAATAAAATGTCTTGTAACCATCATCAGAATACAAGCGAGCATATTCAACCTTACAAGCAACAATCAACAATGATTAATGAGTATGTGTGATCTAATTAGAAGTAGATGCACAAGAATAACATGATGAGCATTAAAAATCATGTACGAATGATAGTGGCATTCACATCAATCTTGCAAGCTGATATACAAGTAGCAAAGGGGCTATAATACACACACAGAACTGCTCACGAATGGTAATGAGAGACATGCATCGATTGCAACGACACCCTCACAGTCAATCACCATCAAATATCTGACGAATACATGAGGTCCTGACAGTTTGTGCAACATATTGCCTACAAGCAAGATCAAAAAGACCTTCAACAAATACAAATACCTACGGATCACTGTAGGGGACCCTTAGTGTATACAATACATTATATGCAAGTAAATACAGAAAGAGCCGCAATGCAATTGAGAGAAGCACCTGTGGGCAGATGCCGAGGGACTTCAACAAATGCAATAATTCGCAATTAGCAACAATACACAATTGAATATATTAGCTTATGAGGATAATGCTAGATGTGTTGGAAGCATGGAGGTTACCCTACAAATATATCTAGGAGGATCACAACAAAAGCAATGATATACCCATGGATATGATATTGAAGATATATGACGACCATAACAAGTTCCCCTACAGTTAATACGAATTAGCAAGTAAGTAGCTAAACATATGTAACAGTGGTGATCAACATTCAATCATAGCAAAGATGCCCATAGACAACGTGCAGAAGATGAAATTAAATTTGCAAACGCCACACCACCGGATCTGCAACATCCATGTAAGTAGACAAAAGACGTTTACAAATCATCAAATGAGACCCAACGCATCACAACGTTACACCATTGGACCCACAACATTCATATAAGCGGGAAGAAGGCGTTTACCGGCTTCTACATTGAGCGCTGTGCACACCCAAATACTGGTCATTCGCATAACTGATCAGCGCCAAACATTAAAAATGTCCTCACACCTGCACTGCCAAACATTAAAAATGTCCTCACACCTGCACTGCAATATGCATAAACACAAATACAAAAATGCACATGCAAGCACATTAACTTGTATACATGTAAGAATATACACCTGTATGGGCCTCGATGAGCCTGTTATGGGTACACTTGATATCTGAGGATGCTGCGCGGGTCAAATGATAAATTTAAGTTCAAGCTCGATCCTTCTATGCGAGTATACAGGAGTCGACACAGCTCGAACTATCAAATAAGTATGCGGTCACGGCATCGACTGAGGTATTTATTTTATACATTCATATTAGGCCTTCAAGATTTATAACAAAGAAAATTCATTGGCAAAGGCATAAAGATGACAATGAACCCAATCCTCTGTTAGCAATTAAGATAAAGTCGATAAGGTTTGACTGATAATTATAAAAATGCCTCCTAATATCACGAACTAGCCCGGTTAGCCCAAATTAACGGGGCGAGAACTGACGATCGTATGGTAGTTATAAAAACTTTCATTTTAACATTTCAACATCAATAACCTCAATATTCATACAACTTCAAATACTAAAAGAGCCACTAAACATCTATTTCAATCATTGTTATTACATAAAAAATAAACAATCTCTCATAAACATAAAACAAAGCTATTGCAGTAGTCCATAACACACAAACTAATCCATTACATAATATAATCATAAGAACCTGTTTCTTGCACTGCTCTACGCTGGTATGTAACAGGTCTATCAGCCATCAGTCTTTAGCATGTTCTTCTGAAAAGTATTCCCACAAACAGGGATGAGCTAATGCTCAGTAGGTAATAAATATTTCTATTAAAAATATAAAGCAGGGAATAAGAAATATTATGCATGTTACTGTGGGCTCCGAAAATTCGGCCTCGGCCTCCGCTCGCTTTTCTTATTCGTCGAGGGAGTTTTAACGAACTAAGTTCCGAGGTAAATTTTGGAAGGCAGATGGGTTTGTAGATAAGACACTACCCAGAGATTTCGCCCTCATTTTGTGAGGACTTTATATAAAGCAAGGAATAAGAAATATTATGCATGTTACTTTCATATGACATTGCTGAAATTATTATCAGAAGAAATTACAATAAAAGTCATAAATTTACCTTTGGGTATGCATATTCTGTATGACATCCTAAATGTTCAATTTTTATTAATCTTTACATATAACCATAACTTTCTCAAATTTTTTATAACTTTTCCTTTAATTCTTATATGCATAGAAGTATAAATTACTTAGTTTTAGTTTTATACATCCGCCTCGAAAGTATCATTATTTTTATACTGATCAGGTACATAATCAAATTTGGCCAGACATTTCATTTCATTTACTCCAAAGAGTCTTTTATCAATTGCTCCGAAAAGTTCTTTACCATTTGGTACTCTGGATTATCATACACATTCAATCATTCAATGCTTATCATAAAAATATTAAATCATTCATGAGTTCATATATGCTTATCTAATATTGTGTCATGCTCATTGTATTGCTCTCACAAAATTTTACATGCTAACACTCAAATAAATTAAAAAGGGAACACATGCTTGCTGCAGTATGAATTGTAAATAAATAACATGTAACTTTCAACTAAAAGAAAATATTAAAGCATATGAAATTTTAGCATTTAAAAAAGAAAACTTATGAAATTAAAAGAGAGATGAATACCTACCTCAAACTCAATATAAACCTTCTAAATAACATGTAACTCCACCCCCCTTGCGTTCGGCTAAGAGGCATGTATGAGAATGAAAGGGACTGAATAGATTTCGGTCCCTTAAGGGCTTGGATGGTTATGGGAGAGTCCAAAGACCTAAATGCCCCCTTTCATAATTCATTTTCATATAAAAAAAGAAAGGGCTATTTAGTCATTTTCAATTTAGGAGACTTTTATGTTTTTTTTTTAACTTCCAAACTATGCAAAATTTCCTTTAAGTCCTTTATATGAATTTGATCGAAATTTAATTTACTATTTTATAAAATTAATTTCGTCGAATCCGACGACTTTGAAAATTCGTCTTATTTTGTTGCAGCGCATCGAAATGCATGCAATGCTTACGATCGACATTTTTTTGGGTTTTACACCTAAATACTTTGAAGAGCGTGCTATGGGTACACACGCGACATCTGAGGATGCTGCGCAGGTCAAATGATAAATTTAAGTTCGAGCCTGATCCTTCTATGCGAGTAGATAGGAGTCGACATAGCTCAAACGATCAAATAAATATATGGTCACGACGTTGATCGAGATATTTGTTTTAATATGTTCATATTAGGCCTTAAAAGTATACAGTTGACAACGAACTCGATCCCCTGTCACCAAGTTGATAGGGCCGACAAGGTTCAATTCATAAATGAAAATTGCCTTTAAACATCCTGATGATGGCCGTGTTAAATGTTTATCTCAATCGGAGGGACCACAAACATCCTAGCAAATGCTTCCCAAATGCCCATAAAAACCCAAAATTCAAAAATCCAAAAAATACCAAATATTATAATATTTAAAAATTGAAATAAATTATTAAACGTTTAAAGCAAAATCCATCCATCATCTGCAATAGTTTGCTGATTTGGACAAGTTTGAAAATATACTTCAGCTCATAAAGAGCTTGTGTTTGATCGAAAATATCACTAGGATTCATTCTCAATCCGTCTCTTACAAGCAAGGACGTGACATATGTCCTCTAATTGACAGTTTTGCTGCCAAATGGCATTGCAGGCAAACTGTTATTATCGGGGCCCTGAACCGGCTGGTTGGCCGTCAAATGACACCACTAAATTACGGTCATCGCCAGAGTCCGTATGCTCCCCAATGACATTAAATCATTGAGCAATGAATCAATAGTATATAATCGATAGGGCACAAAACCCTTTATTAACTAAGGTGAATTCAAAATTGACCTCTTAGATAAATATTCGCCCCAGGTCTACAAAGTACCCTTGCACGAAGCAAACCATGGCTGCCGACAAGGATATTTTTGTCAGGTTAGGTTGACTACCTTCTCTGACTAAGTAGATCAAGGATCACGATGGCCTAGGATGACGGAACCATGGGATCTTACTCGTGTCCATCATCACTCCCCCCACCATCCATTTTAAGTGCAAGATGGTGAAATTTCTATTTTAAATATTAAATTTTCAGAACAAAAACCCATGTTGCAACTAGACGCCATATAACACGTAATTCTACTATAGAAAGTTCTCTCTCGTGATCGGGAGGGGTAATTAATTATAGGGGCTTGCGCCTATAGGAAACTAGAACTCAAATCATAAAGTCCTCGCCAAATGAGGGCGAAATCTTTGCTTGTATTTTATTTCAATTCCAATTTACCTTCTGAAAATTTACCTTAGAACCTAATTTGTTAAAACTCTCCCGAGAGCAAGGGAGGCCGGGGTGTAAATTTTTGGAGCCCACATGAATAAAATAATGGTTGGCATATTTCTCCTTTTTTAGATTGTGTAATTGATTATCTTCTCTTTATTTTTCTCTAACTCTCTAGGAATTCTTCGGGGCTCTTACAAATCTTTTGATGTGTTTCTGTACATTTGTAATGTATAAAGGAAGAAAATTAAACTTTATATCTGTTGGTTCCCTGAAGCTACTGCTTGAGATATTCAGAAAGTGCCAATTTAATTTAAGGCAATATTTTCATGAGTTAAATTATCATTAGTTGCTATTTGAATTGACGGTTTGAAAAGCTAAGCTAGTTACTAAATTGAATCCATTTTTTATCTGATTTATTGAACACTTCTTATCAAAATGATCAGTTGCAGCTGAAATAGGTTTAACCTGCAGATGCTAGGATTAGATCCAATGAGGTGTGCCACCCTTTGTTTTAAAAAGACATATTTGTTGAAGAGCATATTTGAAGCGTTATTTGAATCCATATTCATGCAATATTATGGAGCATCTTCATGATCAAGATTTCTAGTTGTTGTTTGTAGACTGCTGGGTTGAGTACCGTCCTTTTTGATGGGCATTTACATTGGGTGATTAATTTTGAAATATTTATTTTCGGTGCCATCATTTGTTTATGCGAACCTTTATTCAGGATTTAATTTCCTAAATATCTAAAATGGCGATTCCTTAATATTTAACCATCTTCTTTGGTATTATATGACATCAATGTTTTCTCATCTGACAGGATAACCTTTCTGCCATTGATATTCTTTCTGCAAGTAATCTTGTAAACTATTTTGGTAAAATGATCCTTGGTGGCTCTGGAGTTGGTCAGATAACACTCTATCCTATACTTATAAGGAAGGTGAGTCTATTTATTTATATTTCATGTATTGAAATATCTCTGATTGGTATCGTCTTGAATGCTAGGGTACAACATCTGTAGCTTTGTATGGTCTTGGAAATATCAGAGATGAGAGACTTAACAGGATGTTTCAGGTGTTCTACTGTTCTCCAAAGAATATTACTGCATAATCAAATTGTCCCATATGTTAACAATTTTATTCTTTAGACACCACATGCAATTCAGTGGATGCGGCCAGAACCTCAAGAGGGCTGTCCAGTGTTTGATTGGTTCAACATTCTGGTTCTTCACCAAAATAGGTTTTATGCTGTTTTACAGAAAGCCGAAGTTTTTTTTCTTTATCATTGTAGAACTAAGTTGGTTTTGATATGAATATCTTGTCATTCACCCTTACTAATACGGTCTGCAGAATCAAAACAAATCCAAAAAATGCAGTTAATGAACATTTCTTGCCACGATTTCTAGATTTTATTGTGTGGGGGCATGAACATGAATGCCTTGTTGATCCACAGGTATTTTCATATAGAAACTTTGATTTAAAAACTTGTCTGATGCTATAACTCATACGTCATGTTCTTGCAGGAAGTTCCAGGAATGGGTTTTCATATCAGTCAGCCTGGTTCGTCTGTTGCAACATCTCTAATTGATGGCGAAGCAAAGCCCAAGCATGTACTTCTCATGGAAATCAAGGTGATTCTAGGTTTTTCGTAGACTCTGACTTCCAATCATTGATCCACCCTTCTTCATTCCAAATGAAAAGATTCACAACTCTTTGTAATCATATTGAAAGGCATTCTATATTCAGGGAAGTCAGTACAGACCAACAAAGATTCCTTTGAAGTCAGTTAGACCTTTTGAATATGCTGAGGTAAGTAATGAACTTGATGAGGATCAGTAGTTATGCATTGAATTGTTTTTGTATATTAATCTTGCACTGCAGGTTGTTTTAAAAGATGAAGCTGATGTTGATCCCAATGATCAAGCATCGGTTCTTGAACATTTAGACAAAGTTGTAAGTGCTCTTCCATTTTTATTAATTTCACTGTTTTAACTTTAAAAAATTCGTTAATCTTATAAGCCTAATTTCTATAGGTGAGAAATCTGATTGAAAGAAATAGTAGAACGGCTGTTAGCAGGTCAGAGCTTAAGCTTCCTTTGATTCGGTTAAAGGTATGCTTCATAATATATATATATATATATATATATATACTTCTTTTCCCGAGCTTGCAAATGAAAGAAATGATGCTGCACATTTGTTTCCATTTTTTATTGATGTTTTATGATTGCATACTTCCCTTTTCCCCATTCTGTATATGTATATATTTTAAAAATCTCGTTCTCATTTTCTGTCCCTTGGATCTTATAGCATTTTCTTGGTTTGACGTCAAAACTGTTGATAAATTACAGGTGGACTACTCTGGATTTACGACTATAAATCCACAAAGATTTGGCCAAAAGTATGTGGGAAAGGTACTATAATCTGTTTTAATACAAGTTGACCGTAATGTCATTTCCATTTTGATATCTTTCAATAATGAATGCATGGAGAATATTTTAATGTAACATTCCAAGAGCTTTTATTTGTTTACAATTCGCACGTACATTAGCCTATTCCTAATTTCTATCTTAGAAGCCTTTTATGATGTGGATATAAATTTAAAATTCTAATTTCGACATGGATGTTGGAGTTATTTTTTTAGATGTTATATTTTATTAGGATTGTGTGGGCTCCGAAAATTCCATTTTTAGATTATGTGATCCCGGCCTCTCTGCGCCATAGGTTTATTTTTCTTTTAAAATGTTTGTGTGACGATGACGATAGAGAGTTTTAACGAGATAAGGTTCCGGGGGAATTTTCAGAAGGCAGATTGGGTTTTAGATTAGATACTACCCAGAGATTTCGCCCTCATTTTGTGAGGACTTTTTGATCTGAGTTCTGGTTTCCTATAGGCGCAAGCCCCTATAGTTAATTACCCCTCCTGATAACATGAGAGAACTTTCGATTAAGGCTAGTCGTTAAAAGGGTCGAATAGGTTATAAACCTATCGTATAATAGCAATAATTCTAGGATTAAATTTTGAATTTGAAAGTTTGAAATTTGGAATTTATCACCACAAACTTAAAACTGATGGTGGGGGGAATGAAGACGAGCTCGATCAAGATCCCATGGTTCCGTCATCCCGGGCTTCATATTCCCTGGTCTACTTAGTCAGAGGAGGTAGTCGACCCAACCTGACAGAAGGCACCTTGTCGGCAGCCATGGGTTGCTTTGTCCAAGAATACTTTGTAGACCTGGGTTGGTGTTTGTCTAAGGGAATATATCTGAATCCACCTTAGCTAACATAGGGCTTTATGCCTATCAGATATGCCCTATGATTCATAACTCAAGGGTTTGACGCCTTTAGGGAACATACGGGCTTTGGCCGTGATCGTAATATAATGGTGCCATTTCGCGGCAAAACCACTCGATCAGAGGGCACGTGCCACGTCCCTATTGGCAAGAGACTATTTGAGGATGAATCGTAGTGACACACCCGACACACGGTTGCGGGAGGTAGATGATTTTTTAAGTTTTAAGTTTTCAGTTGATAGATTTTTATTTCAAGAATTTGAACTTTTGTTTGATTTGAGATTTGACCCCTCCGGTTGAGATTTTCTGTCAACGTGGCCATCATCGGGGTGATATTAAGGTCACTTATATTTTGTAGGATTTTTGGGAGGCATTTTATGATTCAAGTCATGTCAACTCCGATCCTTTCAAGGAGGAGGATGAAACTTGAATATTAGACCCACGCAGCATTCTCGAATTGTCAGATTTGGGACTTAGCTGTGACGATTGGAGCACATGCGGGTAGATTTAGTTTAAGGGATCACATTTAATGCATAAGAGGCATTTTAAAATATTTAAATATGATCCATTTAATCAAGTGATTTCATTTAACAACGGCCCAGGATTTCATTTAAGGGCCTACGAACGCCTTCTGTCCGCTTGTACACATGTTACGGATTCGGTGGTGTTTTAAAAATTAAGGCTTGAGTTGTGATATGTAAAAGATGTGTTGTTCAATTTATTCAAGCTTATCGTATCATCTACTATAGCTTGTAAGGGATTTTTATGCAAAAGACATTTAGAAGATCGTATCTTCTATTATCTTTTATAGATCAATTGATCCATCCTATACAAGAGAAGGAATAAAGTGACCCAATGGATACGATTCAATATTTCACTTACTCTATATGTCATTATAACCCCGAGTAAACATCATCAATTATCTATGATTTCCCTTTCAAAGAAGTCATGATGTATTGTAGTAGCATGAGATTTTCCAAAGAACTTTTATAAGGGAATCTAGAGAAGTCTTTCGTTGCAAGATATCAAACGACAGTTAAATGTCAAATGCTCTATTATTATATGTATTTCAAGAAATTGGAATATGTAGGATTTATTCAACCTATCCACATAAAGATTATTCCTTTTAAAAAGATTCAATCATATGAGATAAATTAAATACTAATTGTTTTCCAATTTGTTGTGTACCCATTGATATATGGTAACATTATTAATCCCTTCCAATATGAGAAATTCATGATTTTATAGTGGGCTAAATGTGAGATGGTGCATATTTTCAACATTTAAATATCAAACTTTCAAATTCAAACCATTTTTAAATCCTAACCATCTGCTATTAATGCCAGATAACACAATTTCACGTATTGATCAGACTAGCCTTAATCGAAAGTTCTCTCTCGTGATCAGGAGGGGTAATTACTATAGGGGCTTGCGCCTATAGGAAACAGAACTCAGATCATAAAGTCCTCGCAAAATGAGGGCGAAATCTCTGGGTAGTGTCTTATCTACAAACTCATAATGACCTTCCAAAATTTACTTCGGAACTATTCAAGTTAAACTCTCGTCGCCGAATAAAAAGAAAAAAAGCGAGTTGGAGGTCGGGGCCGAATTTTTCCGGAGCCCACCATCTTGCAATCAAACTGGTTATCAGAACTACAGTTTGCCTTAATTTTATATGTAGGTCGTTTTGAAATGAAGCTCAATTAAATCCTCTCCCCCAAAA